CTTAGCAGCTTAATTGTTGGTAATCACAAAGACTAAGATACAGTGAGAAGAAAGATGTAACAGCGCTTTTTTAAACGTAAGATAACAAGAATCGAACTTTAAGGGAAATTAATCTCCGTTTTTCACTTCAAGTATAAAGTGGATGGAAGAATACTACGTGTTTAGATGATCACAGAACACGTTCATAAAACTCGAACCATAGTTTCAAGTCGTAAATATGTCGTTACGTATCGTAACCGGATGGAAGGTTTCAGAAGAGAAGTGGCAATAGCTCGTTCTTATAGATCCTCCATAAATAATTGACACGTAAATATAAAGAATATATAGTAGTAAGAAAAGCCTATAGGTATCCGTGTAGTGTTGTGTTAATCTGTGTTGTATTCAGAGTTGTTAATGTTGGTCTAACTGGTTCATTCGGTTGGGAATAGACAGATATTCTGAAGGACCATTATTCCGAAAAAAAATATGTTACTGATATTGGAGTTTGCTTTATTCTTCTTATCGATAATCAACTTTTTCATCATGTTTCTATAATAATGATATTATTATTATGAAAATTTGACATCATTTTGCAAAACATTAGGAAGCTTTAATTACAGGTAACAATAATATAGGTTTCTGGAATGATTACAAATATACATGAAAATGTTATCGGCTTATGTCTTGAATATAACATTATACACATACTATAATGTTTATGTAACATAACAACCTGAATGAACATAGGCCAACATACGTAACTGCTTTTACCAATTTTTAAAACTATGGCCCTTCGGAATATCGGGCTGTAACCCATTCGGTTTGTGGGCCTTGGGTAATGCGAAAAGTCAGGGAGATCTAGCATTGTTGGAACGTGGGCTACAACGAAACCCTCCGTAATTTCTCCAGATCATTTAAGATCACTTAAAATGTTAAGTTCCTTTCTGTTGTCTTGGTTGATGTTTTTTGGTGTGTTTTTTCAGGTGCTGGTAACAAGGTTCGGATAATAGAACTGGAAGTTCACACTGCAGCAGTTGTTGTCAAGCAATTTTCTAATATAAATAACCTTATATCTCTTCCGGCCTGAAGAGCCCTGATATTGGGCGAAAGACAATATTCTTATGTACTGTTTTTACTTTTACCCAGAAGCTCTAACTGATAATTCACCCAATTGTGAGCTACATTAACAGTCCTTCATAAAACACAACTCTTATCTGACTTACCACAGAGACTCCTATCTGAAGAATTCTGATCTCATACAAAAACTGCATGATGTAGAGATTATCGATGATGATATATTAGTTAGCCTGATGTCCAGGCTATCTTTAGATTTAAATCAAGGGCACTGACACGGTTATTCATACCAGAATTGAAGCTGATACGACTTGAACATCACGAACAGGTCTATCTAAATCTTCTTCCATAAAACCTATAGAAATGTATATCTTTCTTTTCTTGAAAAGTTAAATTTCACCACATAGTGGACGGCATACTAATGGGTTTTAATTTTTCTCCTATTAGCTGCCAAATCTTCAGAAAGGATCTATAACAAAGAGCTATTGCCACATCTCTTCCCAGTGGCGTAGCCAGATTTTCTACTCAGAGGGGGCAGAAAATTTTAAGGGGGCCAATAAATTAAAAAGCTGAAACTCATCTCAATTTTTAATAAAATGGTCATTAAAACAAATCATATAAAATGTAATAATGTTTATGGAAGTTATATTTTTTTTTTATTAAATGATACAAAACGAGTTTATTATATATATATATAAACTGAAAAATAATATGTGAACAATATGCCTGGATTTTTCAGGGAGCCGGGCCCCCACTTTGCCACAAATCTGTCTCTTCCGAAACCTTTATTGGGGTTACGATACATTAACGACGTCTTTGCGATTTTGGTCCCCCGGTGGGACAGCGGTAAGTCTTCGGATTTACAACACTATAATCAGGGGCTCGATTCCACTCGGTGGAAACAGCAGATAGCCCGATGTGGCTTCGCTATAAAAAAAATCACACATTCTTTATGACTTGGAATCATTGTTCGAATTCTATAATAGTTTTAAGTGATCATCTAAATAAGCAGCATTCGTCTATTCAGAAAGTGATAATCAACTTTCCTTCGTTGATATTCTGGTAATAAAAGATAAGCCAAAACCTGTCAGAAATATATTTAGAATACTAATACACACAGATCAGTATTAAAAATTCGATTTCTTTTCCATCCTATACAAGTTAAACAAAAGTATTACCACATTTCTCTTCTCATAGAAACTCCTCTTTTGTAATTCTAAAGTCATAAAAGAAGAGCTATGTTACATTTCACATTGTTGCGTGAAACGGTCACCTTTCTCATTGTTGGTTTATAACGCTTTTCCTGGAGAAGTGTCACCTATTGATCGGTATAGTTATGTGCGTTATTACCTCACAGTAAGACTGATGATAAATTTTTACGAATCTTTTTTCACTAGCCCCGTGCTACGAATCTTCCAGTAAGAAGAACATTCATTTTAGATATTAATTATTTTAACACTCTGTTTGTCAACCAACAATGAAGAATTGCTAAGGAACACCAGCAAAGTTGTAAATTTAAAACAAGAAAGAAAAGGAAAAAAAAATACACCCTCAAACTGTAGTGTTGTAACTCTTTTCTTCCAGAACTTGGACTTAAACTTCAATGCATATGTAGAAAATATTTTATTCGTGTCACCTTTAAAAAATACATAAGGCATTTTAATTAAGACCAAAATCTGAGGTCTAAACGAAATGCCATTTATAATGAAAAATGAAATTATGGGAAGTAGTACACTGGGGAAACTTCTCCAGGTTCACATTAATAAACAAAAAATACCACACACTTCCCTTTATGATGAGGCAAAATCTGCTGTTGCTGGACACCTCTTTAGTTGCAAAGAAGAAATACAATGGGATAAAATTAGGGTTACTGAAGATAAGCCAAACACCACAAGAAGAAAAATTAATAAAGCCATATATATTAAAACAAGAAATTCTGGATCGAAACATGACTTGAGTTGTAACTGTGGTAGAATACAATGATAAATAATAATAAAGAATGAATTGACATATCTGAATGGCGAATGCTTCTAGTATATTTTGAGCGACGTTTCGAGCAGACGCTTTTCGTCAGGCAGTAAAGACCGTATTACAATGGAATTAGGCTCAGAAATAATCGTTAAAAGGTAAAATAATACAAAGGTTCTTAGTACACGGTGACAAATATACCGATAAAAATATTCTGATAGAATATTCTGTCTTAGCACTGTGTCTCAGTTGCGTACATGCCTTGAGTCATGAATTATTATATTAACTTCTGATAATTATTTTCTTTCATTATGCTACTTTTATATCTCTCTTTTTAATATTCGTTATAATTGTCTGTACATGTAAATAATGCATGATTTTGTAATTAGTTTTCGTTATAATTAATAGTGTGTATAGATATAATTATTAAATTGACTTAGCGCGCCATCTGTTGTACGTTTGTTGCTCTGTTTATGTTGCATGTAATATAATATTTTACACTGTTGTTTTTAACATAACGTTCATATTCAAATTATCTCTTACTTGTCTAAGAGTTCATAAATGAGCTGGAAATTTTGCGTCGATAAATACATTGTGAAGTTAACCCCAAAGTTTATTTTGTTAAATGCTCATCATATCCAACCATTTGTAAACGACAACACTATTGACAACTTGTGTTAGTCTCTACTGATAATTAGAAATTCTCATTTCAAACAAACTTAGTTCAACAGACTTGGTTATAAGAACTGTTTATTGCAACGAAAAAAACATTGAAATTTTAACAAATAATAATCATGACAGTTAATTATTTTCACTTTCCAGCAGATGAGCTATGAATAATCGCATATTTTCGGTGACAAAAAATACTTTTTTCCTAATTTAAAATAACTTAGGTACATCTTAAAGAGAAGCAGACAGAAAACACATAACTTATTAAAAAATCTCACATCTGCACAAAGTGTTCTTTTATTCCAATTTTATATATAAAGTGTCAAACAACATATTTGACACTCTTATTTATCAAATAGAAACATTAAAGACTACTGACTAATTGTAATAAATTTCCTACTAGAAACAATATTACATAAAATATTAGGGCTAAAATTTGTAATTTATGTGATAAATGTTTGACCTATTCGTTTATAATGCTTTGCTAGCTTTAAATTTTTAAACAGTAACTACATAAAATCTAGTTAGATGTTTATCTACACCAGTAAGTGAAAAGTAAAATCCTAGGAATATATATATATTATGATAGTAAAAGTATATAATAAATCCTAGGTGTATACATTATAATAATTTATAGTAGAAGTTACGGGGTATACTAAATTTTGGGATATAGCAGAAGTGATATCTTAGGTGTATAAATCGTAGTATACAATAGAAGCGATATCTGCATATTTTATTGCAGTTTGCAATAAAGCGACATCTGGAGACTACGCTTAGTAACTGGTTGAGTGTAATTTTATACAACAAATGCATATAAATTCGAAAGTGTTTCTTTCTAAAACACAGGGGAAAATGTAACGTTTTTATGTAGTAATTTTTCTTAATAGGACAAACTTTATTTGATTGTTTTATACGAACCTCATCAAAACATGAAGGACAGTTTACCTCCGTCTTCTCGGGTATTGAATTTATTCAATTTATTTTCAAAATATTATATGTAATTAGTAATTTTCTTACACAGGGCAAAAAGATTTCATCAATTTAGTTAACTAGTAGCTAGTAAGACAATCTACATAATAAATATTTTCTTAACGAGAATGAATTGTATTTTAATTCTGGTTTGCTGCTTACTTAGAAAGTTAAAACACCTCAGGTTATAGACAACGCTATCGCATTTATGTCGCCCCTCAGTGGCACAGCGAAAAGTCTGTGGACTTATAACGCTAAAAACCGGCTTTCGATATTCGTGTTGAGCAGAGCACAGATAGCCCGTTGTGCAGCTTTATGCTTAACTACAAAAAACAAAACAACAACAACAAACAAACCATTTATGATAGACAATTTTTATAATAAATATTCTGATTTTAAATTATAAGAAAACTAATGATAACTTATTCAATCTGAACCAACTGCATTAAGTTACACAGCATTTGTTTCTCCACTGGCACTAGTAAATAGTTATCCTAATTCACAATAGTTTTATTTTACTCTGCGCAAAGCAATCAAGGTAGTAAAACTTTCTACGACAATTGTATGAACCTTCACAGTAACATTACTCCAACTCCTGTTATCAGAACAACGTACGTCACATAAGCAACCCAAGGATATTTATCCTACACTTACAATTCTCTTGCAGTTTGGCCCCGGATGCAGCTTACGTATCATTATTGAGGATTTGTGCTTGGTAATCTTAAACTTAGATTTTCATAGAATTTGTTTTAAGTTGAGAGTAGTTACTTTTAACAATACACAAAAAAGCAACAAATTTTGTATGGAAAGTGAATGTAAAAGTTGTAATTTTATTTGATGTTTTACAATTCTGTAAGCTTTAATTTTGTGTGTGTGTGTGTGTTAAAATTGTTGAGTTTGAATTTACAAACCAATAATAACATTTCGTTACCACTTAATCTGAAATATCTGACAAATTTAAGTGCCACAGATATTTAGAGCATAGCAGAGGATAATTAATGAGTGTGCTGATTAGTGTTGTAATTGTGCTACGTGCTTAACGTGCATTATTACTAATGAGTGGTTCTTTTACGGTCAAGATGTCTAGGTGATGGCTGGAGGCTAAACATAATTGGGTCACATTCTTGTTATTTTTTGAGTTAAACTCTTAAGTTAAATCTAGGCAGTCTTTTCGTAAGTGAAAAGCTTATTTTTACTGCTTAAGTGAATTATAAAAACATCGATTAGGTGCAACAGAATTTACATTTCGAAAGGTTTTTCCCGCTTTGAACACCGAGGTTTTCGAGAAATTTCTTTAAGACGGAGAACATTTTCCATTCTTGCTATTTCGCCGTGGCAACTGCTTGTGCAACGACCTGCCAACTTCTTGGATTTCTTGATGAACCTGTCCATCAACTCTGAAGAAATTAAAAACAAACAAATCTAATTAGTTACTATGTGGAATATCTCGGACTAGAAAACCATTTAGAATCACAATTTAAAGTTTCACGTCACGAAAATGTATAGTTTTTTAACAATATAATTAATTTACGTGATTAAAAAACGTTTATATAGCAGAAAAGTATTTCAACAAGTGACATAAAAAGTATAATAAAATGAATTTTTTACGTTTATACACCGCTTAGTTACTATTAAAGTAAAATACTATTTCTGGGCCATTTCCAAACACAAACTCCAGTTTACCTAGCGATACATTTGTTGATTTGTCCTTTAAAGATATCACACTTGAACCGTGAGTTTGAAACCAACAATATGAATTGACTTAAACTACAGACGCACCCATTACGGCGCATTGTGTTCGCTTCTACAAATTAACATCGCTATTAGAGCCTTAATGCCTTTTTGTGGTTGGTTATCTCCGTAAATTCTTCAGTATGTCGCACTCGTATCGCTTACCAAACAAGAAATTTATTTAATAGATTTGAATTTCCCTATTTTTCGGAATATAAG